TTGTCCCTTTCTCCACACTGAAAAACAGCATTTGTATTTCTTATCTGTCCGCTTGAACTCCTCAGGCTTATTTCCAAGTTCAGTTCATTTGTTTCACACGTTAGCACTCTCAGTCCCCTTTGTAAGAGTCAAATTTTGCACTGGACTTGGTTTAAAGCTTCTATTTGAGGGTATCAAATGTAGATCCTATTATCTTCAAATAATCCACTATTTACGATGTGGTAATTTTGTTTGTGAACATGGAAGACATCATTCAGTGTAAATTGCAATAGGGATAAAGAGCCTCTTGCAATGTGATCAGTGCATTAAAATTGTCCAGTATTTTCACTCTGACTGAAATCTGCGATCCTTGGTAAAATTAATTGGTGAAACTCGCTAAGGACTCATCCTTCTGTATTTGGATTCCCATAAATTATTGTTTGCGCTTTTGACATATGCATGGAACTTCCGAATTCTTTCATTATGGCAGCCTTGGCCTCTGAGTATGACCAGCTGTCCCCTTCTAGATGGGGTAGCATCAAATTCTGAAAGTTGGTATCCAAACAGTTCATCACCATCAAAGCTTTTTGATGATTGCCATACCCAAAAATTGTCATGTTGAACAATAATAGAAGATGTAGGGGCGTTATCCCAATGGAATGTGGGTAACTTAAGCTTAGCTCTAAACTCCAAAGTTTTTCTAGCCACCACTCTTGGTTTGGCTACTTGACTGATTTGAGGAGTGATTTCAGGAGCCATCTTTAAAATGGCTGTGAATGCGGTCATCATATTTCTTGTAATAGTCAACTTCCCAAATGGAGTTCTTGGGGTCCTTTCTTCGGCGTCAGTCGCTGCATAGGTCTCACATTCACATCTATGAGCCTTCAACCCTTTTGATTTGTTTCATTAAACGCTCTATATCTGCACTGAATGAATGCAATCAAACTTGATCTACTTCAAATTTCAATTTTTAAAAATGAAACTTCTTGGACTAGATCTCCTTTTTTTACTTTAATGCCGTTACTTACCCTAGCAACCCATTGCTGAAATTGGAGACATCTTTGACTACTTCCTCAATTTTGGTAACTCTTTCCTCCAAGGCAGTAATTTCTCTGTGAACAGCAGAATTCAAGGAGTTTTTTGTTGATGGTTGCCAACTCCATCGAGAGTTTTCTTAACATATCCTTGTATAACATCATATACTGGTTTATCCTACTCAAATAAACCCTGTAGTGAGCACCAAAATTTAAAAATTGGGAGTTAGCCACTCTGACAGTGAATAACAATTGTATGATCCTGGGTTCTTCACTGATTAAAAACTACTGACTGATAAATGCACAGGTTTTATATGTGCATAATTCGCTTTTTCTGATATTATTTGATAGTTGATTGATAATAGAATGAAGACTATTCTCCATAGTTGAATAAACCATTTATGGTCCAACATTAGACTTTTACTTCTCCACTAAATACTCTTGATGTTGACTATAGGGCCTTCTTCCCTTATCCATCAAACTTGATCCACTCTCAGATCCCAAAGTTTATAGCCTGTCTTCTCGTCACAATGAGTCTGCAGCAATTCCCATCTAAGTTCAGTTTCTCTTATTAATGATCCTCGCTCCTAACTCTTTATCTGAAAAAAGAGCACCCAATTATTGCATAAAGCAATAATCTTCTGAAGACGTTAGAACTTAAACCAATATTGATCTTTATAATCTTTATTGTAATATTTGGAAAGGTTCTTTTTTATTAATGTGAATTATCAGTGTTATTTAAAGAGAGAATTCAGCGCACAACCCTTGTTATGCGCCTCAGCCATGAAACAGCAGCCGTTGCCATTGAACTTTCCTTTGACATCTCACCAGCAATGGTCTTCTCCATCTGGCAGGATTCCATCATCAGACATCCTTGAGACCTAAAATGGACAGAGTCAGAAAACATGTCCCTAACATTTCCCACTTGATCCCAGAAAACCAACCATACTTGGTGAGCGACCTGCTAGGTGATGGGACTTTTTGCCTATTATGGCAGGTAGCAAACCACCTAATTGATTCACTAGTTGCAGGTGGCATCATTTGTCTCGCAACTTGCTCATTAAATTCTAAATTGGTTGGTGATGAAACCTGACCAATCCCAATTAGTACACCTGATAGTTAACCATCAATTAACTATCAGATGCTTCCATTTTGTCAGAAACTCTGCTTGACAAGAACTTAAGCATTCACATGGATTAATCCCCAAACTGATCCAAACCTGGCGAATTACCTAAAATACCCCAAACATTATTAACCTGAAATTGGGGTCAACTGATATCCAATTCACTCGCCATAGGAAATTATCCCCAGATTTATGTGAATCTAGATGGCTGGAAAGGTGGGCAAAAATATCAGCACTAACGTCCATAACTTTTGCTGGCTGCTCCTGTGTCCAGGAGAGCTTTTACAATAATCTTGCATGTCCTATAATGAAGGTTATGGTAAAGGTGAAATAGACGGAATCCTCTTTAGAGTTAGTTGTGAGTGCAAGAGCAGCGCAATTGGTACAATAATTCAAGGTATAGATTGTACTTTTAGTAAATGGAAAATGATGCTGCTTACTTACCAAGAACATCAGCCGGCTATAGCTGATCTTTAGATAAGGTAGGATTCTGAGATAATTCCAGGCATTTCCTTGTGGGGAAAGATAATTGAGGCTTGAAAGTAGATGAGAATTTATATCAACTATATAGGTGAACGCCTCGCCATCTAAGAGGTGAGGGTGAAAATCTTTAAAATTTATGGATGTTTACTATGCCATGGTGCAAGCTGACTGAAAGAAGACTGGCCATATAAAGTAAATGGCCCAGAATGGCAAGAGCTCACCTGCCCTAGCAAATTTTGAGTGGAATCTTAGAAGTTTAACATGAGGAGTAAATTGGTTCATCAACATACAAAAGGCTTTATAACCATCCAGAAGGTGGTAATGAGTGTTGGCACTAAGGTGTTTAGACCACTTGCCCTTTTTTATATTAAAGGCCAGGAAATCTGAAGTTCCTAGGAGCTGGATTCAAGTTAATTGCTTTCCTTTTCTTATAAATATTTACTCAGGTTAAAGTCCCTGGAGTTGTAATCCTAAATTATTATACTTCTTCCTAAATAAATTGAGGAAAGCTAAATTAACTTAAAAAGTTGCAAAAAAGAGTAATCTACTTTTTTAGAGTCAAAATTATAAGGAGTTCAGGAGGAAACCTGGTCCATCTCCAAGTGGTCCAAGCTAAGATCTATAATTGTAAAATTAAAAAATTCTGCAGCAGGATATTCATCTCAGTCAAAATAGGATTAGCTCTCCACATGGCTTGGGTTTAAACTTAAGATCAGGAGGTTTTGGGTGATTGATATTTGACCAAATTAGGCAGGTATCATCCCCTATGCTGGTAGGGCTCAAAATTAGTTGGGGATTGTCCCTGATAATGATAGTTCTTGAATTTATCAGGGATTATCCCTGATACAGGTTATAGCTATTTTGACAACTTGGTTTGATTCCCACCATCTACCTCATCTGAATCTTTGATTTAGGAAAAATCCTACAACGCCTCCTTCTAGATCTTGGTGCAGGGGGAAAACCAATGGAGATAAAGACTATGTACGAGATTGACTACAGTACACTGAACAACCTCTACAATTGAGTGTTTGTTGCCCCGCTTATAAATAACTTTGTAGGGCCCCAACCAGTCAGTGCCTAATTTTTATCCTGACCTTCTGGCCAATGGTGATAGAAAAGGACTAGGTCACCCGATTGGAAGGTTTACAGAGGTTGATTTTTGTCACTAAACCAATCTGTTTCTCTACTAGTGGTAGCAGATAAGTTCTCAGAAGCCAGGGCTTGAAGTCATAATTTTATTGGCAATACTTCGCAGAGTGACTTCAGGGGCTTTGGTGGAGGCTTGGTCAAGCATAGACTGCACTTTAGAAGGCAGCTGAGGATTTCTTCCATACAACAGTTAGAAGGGCGACATCTTAAAATTATAAAATGATTGCTGATCCTATAGTCCATAATTGCATTAGGCAAATATTGGGGGCCAATGAAGGTGGTCAGTCATAGCCATTTTCCAGAGGGTTGCTGTTATAGTACCATTTGCCCGCTCTACCATTTCATTTGTTGCAGGATGGTAGGGAGTGTAAAATACCTAAGTGGATCCCATCAGTTTAACTAGATCTTCCACCAGCGAGGTTTTGAAGCTTTACCCGTTATCAGAAAGAATTATGTCAGGGCACTTATTCTGGGTGATAATCTGATTATATAAAAACTGTGGCGGTAGCTTTTGTTAAGTCAGAGGATAGTGATACAGCTTCGATCCACTTAGTTAAATGATCCACTGCTTGGAGGAGGAACTGATGACCATTAGAGGCTTGAGGGAGAGGTCCCGCAACATCAATACAAATAGTATGGAAGGGCTCACAGGGTGGAACCACTGGATGTTGAGGTTTGGGATTAGGTACAGCTTGACTTTTATATACCAGGCAAGACACTAATACATCTTGGATGAAGACAAGCATTTCTTCCAGTAGCATTGAGCTTTGAGCCACTGGTAAGTTTTCTGAATTTCCCTGTGGCTGACCTGCCAATGTCCCTCTAATATGATGTGCATCTGAGCTGAGGGTCATATATATAGGGCAACCATTTTTGATATATGAGTTTGTAAAGCTTACCGTTTTTTACTTGGAGGTTCACTGACTTTTTTATTAATTCTTTTTGAAGAGCTGTGGATTCATCTTTCCATAAATGTGGTTGGGTTAAGAGGTCATAAAGTCAATCCTCAGGGTTGTTTAGAGTTAATATGGTGAGACTGGATAAGCAATCCACATTTTGGTGGATGGGCCCTGGTCAATAGATAATGAAAAAATCATAACTTTGAAGTTTTTAATGCCTATAAAGGTAACATCCTGTAAGGATCCTTAATTTTCTGTAGCCAACACAAAGAATCATGATCAGTAATTAAAGTAAAATGATTCTCATATTAATAGGATCAAAAATGCTTAATAGCGGGGGTGGAAGGCGAGTCAGTAAGGGCATATGGCTACCAACCTGAAGGTAGTGGGGTTCAATTCCCGCCCTTCGCACATTGATTGGGGTGCCAGCCAAAGGAAGCTATTGGCGGTTAGTAGGTCTAATAACACGAAAACCTTACCCATGATGTAACCAGAAAAATTTGAGTCCCTATCCAGAGGTGGAAAAACTTTCTTTAACGGAGTTGACCCTGTTCAGGTTTCATGTCATTTCTTTCTTTCGGTAATGCCTGTCCCCTGGTCAGCTTGCCTCGATTAAATAAATAATTAAAAATGCTTAATAACAAGTAGTACCAACAAGCATTTTCACTACATAACACTATAGTTGTGTTCAGCTCAGGTTAGGGTTTTGTTATAGTAGGTAATAGGATGGTATAGTAAGTTTTAGTTATGCTGTGATAGTATGGCTCCAATGGCTATATCACTAGCATTAGTAAAAAGGAGAAAGACGTTTAAAAACTTGAGATGTATGAGTACTGGTGAATGGGAGAGAGCTGAGCGTAATAAGTCAAAGGACTGCTGTTGCTCTTCTTTCTATTGGAAGGGCATGCCTTTCCTCAATAGGTATACTAGAGGATCGTAGGTGTTGGCAAAATGGGGAATATACTAACAAAAAAATTCCACCAACCCCAAAAAACCTGTACGTTTTGTAGGGATTTAGGGGGACATCTTAGAAATGGCCATAACCTTATCATCCATTGGGGATATTCTGGCTTTAGCTACCTTATGACCTAGAAAATTTATTTAGCTCCAAAAGAAAGAGAATTTCTGATGGCTCTAGTTTTAACGAGGCTTGCCATATCTGTTAGAAACTTGCTGAAGATGATCTATGTGCTTGATAAAAGTTCTCAAAAAAACAGTAATATCATCAAGATATACTAGTACACACGAACATTTTAAATCACTTGAAATTCCGTCCATGGCAAATTGGAAGTTAACAGTGGCGTTACATAACCCCTGTGGCAATTGAGTGGGCTCTAAAAATCCTTCACTTGAAATGGGGGCACATTTTTCATAATCCTTTGGCGATAAATTAATTTGCCAGTACCCACTGGCAAGATCCATAGCCAAAAAAATAGTGGGAACCCAACATTAAGCGTAAGATATCATCTATACGTGGCAATGGATAGCTATACATTTTTGATTGAATTGAGCCAGTGATAATCCATGACAAAACGGTGGCCACCATACTTCTTCTAAATTAATAGAAGCGAAGAAGCCCATGGGTTTTTAGAAGGCATAAGTAATCCAGCCTCCAACAGTTGCTGTAACTCTAGGGCCACTTGAGCTTCCTTGACTTTAGATCTCCTATTTGCTGAGCTTAAATGGAGGGTAGTTTTGGTCTTAATTTGGTGGATAATCCACAACATTTTTCTGTAGTCACTTAGTCCCAAGGAAAAAAGATCACCATACTCTTCAAGTAGGTCTTCAATGTTCTGGCATTTTAAAGGGGTGAAATTATCCCCAATCTGGCTGTCAACTAAAGCTATGGTTGGTAGTGGATCAAAACCTAAATCTTGTAAAGGGCCAAAAACAACTCACTTTGGCAATATTCTCAATGGGACATAATTTTACATAAGCAGTAGGGGCATGCTGAGGGACTTAAAGGGTTTGATTCATTTGACCTCAATAATATTGTCAGAATTGCAGATGACCAAATAGTCCAACTCTTTAACTGAATATGAGATTCAACAATTAGCTATAATTGTAGAGGGTCAGCAATAGTAGCCAACTGGAGAGAATATTGTTGGGTGGAATTCCCAATGATATTAGAGGTCGCTGACTATGAATAATTGTCAGGCATCATCCCTGATAACAATTGAGGCCGCTGAAAGATGATAAATTCATTGAGAATCATCCCCAATGCTAATTGAGGCCGCTGACAGATGACAATTTTGTCAGGAATCATCCACAATGACATTTGAGGCCGCTAATAGATGATAATTTTGTCAAACGTCATAAATAAAATTAAGCAATAATTCGATATTAATATAATCCCTGATAGTCAAAGTATAGGGAATCATTCAGAATGGAGCGGATTGGAGTCATAAGAAAATACCAAAACATTCAAACGCCAGAGGAAATGTGGAATTGTCATCGGTCAAAACAATCAGTTTCATGTACCTAATACCAATTGTTTGGACCGCTGAACGCCTGAGGAATATGTGGCCTAGAAAACCCAAAGCAACAGTACCCAATGAGATTTGGTACATAACACTAAGGGGCAAAACCAGTATAGAAGCACAAATATTCTCATTGGACAGCTAAAAAAGTTGTATACTGATTCTAACTATAAAAACCCCACATAATTCCCTAATAAAAATTAGATTCACACTGATATTAGCTTTAGTTGTTAAAACATTGGTTGTTTTGAACATAACTCTTAAGAGAAGAGTACAAGGATCAGATATCCTTAGGATTAGCAATATCAAAATCTCCGCCTGGCTCTGCAAGAAGGGAATAGGGAAAGTGTTCCCTACCAGATTATCTTCAAGAAGAAGCACCAGTTTAGCGTTGGACTTACTCACTCAATGTGGCTTTGGGCAATCAACTTAATAATAGTCTTCATACTATTATTGCCCCAGTCTATCAACAAACAATCAGTGACAGAATTTACGAATCTGTGCAGTTGAAATCCAGGGCTAAAAGCGAGCAACTAAGCCCAAGATAATAACATTGATGCTCACCACAGGGGGTAGTTGAGTTGTCAAAAGCCAATTTAAAATAACAATGTCTTTTAAGTAAGAGCTTTGAAAGCTCTGGTTGGAACTACAGGCCGTCAATGAGAATGTGCTCAGCTTGGCATCTCAGGCCGATGTTAGTACATTGGAGGAGCGTATGATCAAGACAGAGGAAACTCTTGAACAACTAGGGATAGTAATAAATTACTTATGCAGTAAAGTTGCCTCTTTCAAGTGGAAAGAGGGTGAACTCGTCAAGGAAATTTTATTTCAGAAAACTGAATGGAAAGCAGATTGAGAATGCATCCGACGGTTTCAGGAGGAGATGGCAAAAATGACCAAGCATATAGAGGAGCTGTAGAAATACCAATATGATTGCAAACAATTTGAGGCGAATGATACCAATGAAAAGGCAGGCAAAACTCCAATCGGAAAGACCTCTCCACCCCAAAATATGCCCAAACCATTTGCTGGTGTGTCATAAATAACTCCCAAACACTACCATGGCTTCTCAAGTAGCTGGCAAGGATTTTCTATGAGTGGAGTGACCAAGGAATTATGAAATATGCCAAAATTGCCCACCTTTCACTGGGATAACGCCCTAGCGTTCTTCTGCCTATTTAGATGACCATGTTCAGCTATATGGACCAACAAAAAGCATTGACTGTAATGAACTGCCTTAGCACAGACTGACAAAACTTGGTGCTACCTCACCTCAATGGAGATAATTGGTCATATGCAGAAGCAAAAGCAGCCATATGTTAGAGTTTGGAAGCCCTATTCGGATGGCAAATTGAAAACAAGAGTTCATGGATATTCAATTCCTCAAAGATGAGACTCTGGCTAGTTTTGCCGACCATTTTTCCAAGAAGCTAAGATCTTTGAAGGGGCAAAAGTGCTAGATGACTTTTGCACACATAGCCATGCAGTTGGCACTTCAGCCCTACCGCAAATTGCATCAGATTATGGCATCAGCACTAATAATCCAAAATAACGACCTCACAGATGGTGGACCATCTGAAGATGTTGGGAGCAACTTTTGATGCACCCAATCAATCTTATAATAAAATTCCAACTGAGGATGATCACACTTTGGTTAAATTAGAAGATGATATTTTAGAAAACGTTGAAGAAGTTGTTATTCAGCAGAATTAAGTTATTAAAGGGAAAAACCCCGATGGATCCAAGTGGAAGAATAAATCAACTAGCCACTATTGAGAAGATGGAGTGATGGGATAAATTGCCACCCAAAATTGGCATATAAATGATGACGATTTGTAAATGTTGTGATTCCTCAAGAGGAGGACGAAACTGCCCAAAATTTTGGAAAAGGCCTTGCAGTCTAGATGTGCAACTATCTAGCACTGCAAGAGAACCTGTTCCACCAGATATCTAAATGGAAAAATCCATCAGCAGGACCAGCTCAGGTTGCAACTGGGTCCACCGTGAGAAGTCCTAAGGCATTAAGTGAGATCAGAAATGTGAGGCGATTAATCCAGAGAATAGTGTATGAAGTCAGTTGATCTTAAATTAGTCGTTTAATGAGCAAATCGTGAGAAATACCAAAAATAGTACTTTTAAGACGACTTTAGCAAAGAAAAACGTTATCAAATTAATCTGTGCAAATAGTGGATCATTTAAATATCTATCAGCATATTTAAGCAAACGTTTGAATTGCAATTAAAGCCAAGAAATAGGATCCAATCTAGACAAATTGGGATAGAAAAATGTATCCATTGACAAATAATAGTATCAGATCCTGATGAATTTTGGGTTAAGAAAATGCTGTTTTAAACTTTTCTTTCTCATTGCAATCACTTTTGCTACCTATTCAATTCAAGACTGAATCTAGTTTTATAATCTCACAGAGGAGATTAGTCTGCACCCATGTCAGGGAGCAGTTAGGCAAGTAAGGTAAGAGGAGCAGGTGGAAGGCCTGCGGCCTCCAACGTTCAAAAACGCCCCGGAGAAACTGGCAGAATAGACAAAAATCTTAAAAAACTGGCGGTCACTATTTCCCTCAGAGATACTCGCATGGCAAGCACGATGCAACCAGTACATCAACACGCCACCCTCCCAGCCACTTTCGTCGGTGGAATTTGGAGTCCACGTGTTTCTGGACATCCAACAAATGGCCTTATGGGAAAAATTTTGTGAAGATGTGCACACCTTTTTCCTGACTGCGGTGTACATTGCACCTCACTCCATGTCACGCGGTTGGCTAAACTAGGTTTAAAAAACAAAGAAGCAGCAGATGAGGCTGCTGTGGTGCGTGTAGTGGTCGACCTCCTCAAAGGGCAATGGGTTGTCAAAACCAAAAGCACCAGATGGACGAAATCATACCAAATTTTCCTCACATTTGACTTTTTGCCT